GCTTCAACTCTTGTAGGTCTCTGCACACTTCCACTAGTGACTTTAGCTTTAAGAGCTCTCATCTTTGGACCATCAAACACAAATCTCTTTGTGACACACTTGACTATCTTCATCTCCACGGCAGCTGCAGGACTCTGCGCTGAGAAATCTCCAGGCGGGTATCGGGTTGCTGCGCTGAAATCTGGTACCACAGTGTGACCAAGGCCAAGAGCTGTGGCAGCCCAAACTTTGATGAATGTGCTCAAAGTTGATGCATCAGCAAGCTTGTGTGACATGCACACACCTATGGCCAATCCTCCACACTCAAAGAAACTGGCTTGAACAAGCAGTAGGCACCCTGTGCCTGCTTCAGGGGATTCAACCTTAATAGGAAGCAGCAATTTTAGTATTTCCAAGTTGGGTTGATCGAGGAAGTTCGACAGAAGGGCGTTGACTCGAGCTTCAACATAGACAGCCCCCTCATCATTACATTCAATAAACAGGTTATCTTTGATTCTTCCAGCAAGTGGATAGAAGCGAGTTAAGGCCTCTGAGAGTGATTTCTTTAGCTGATGCGACCTTTCCTCTGTTAATGTAACCTCACTGACATTGCTGGGGTAGAAAAGAACCATAGGACCATATACTACAGGAACAAGCTGATCTAAAAGAGAGAGCTTGAAACTTTTGAGGTTGTGGGGAGTTGGGGCAGATGGTTTTATGGTTTCCTTCTTGACAATCTCAATTTTCATCTCCTGGGCCATTTATTGTTCCTGCTATAGCCTATAGGATTGCTCTAGCTCTTAACTACACTTTCTGCATTACTGGATTTGCAGCAGGAAGACTTAATATATAAGATTGCACATCTGCATTAAGTCCATGGAAACATCAGCAATTATTAATTTTCATTTCTTTGACTTTAATAATTATGATAATGACTATTACAATTGTCAATGCTTACAGTTTTATGTGTTGCCTTATATTACTGTATATGCAGTTTTATATGATACATTGGCTGGCCTGAACATCTGAGTGGAGGCTAATTATATATTGGAAGGCTCAGGCGGGGAGATATGGATGGACATTGTTTTGCAGACTTTCCATGAAAAAACAGGCAGCATGAGCAGTGCCAAATGTGTTAAATGCTGCCTTATTTTTGGAGTTTATATTCTTTCACATTTTCTCTGTCATGGGAAGTTGCTGTGGGAATCCCTCAAACACCAGAATATGTAAATGGTATAATTTTGAGGCTGTTTATTCATGTGAGTCAAGAATATAGGTTCAGAGGGAGCAAAATCTAGTTGGATAGGGTCTTAGAAAATTTCAGTGATATGCTGCAAGAAAAATCTAACTGAATCTTTGGCTTTTGTCATGATCCTCAGCTGGTTTAATCCTTTTTTTTTTCTCTATGTTATAATAATATGTAAATGCAGCTCTTACCATCAGTTCTACAAACACATACGCAACCAAGGCAGGCATATTTTCCACCCCCACCCCACATAACACTTTTAAAAATATATATATAATTTTGAATTATATTCTGTCAATGTTTTGCGTCTCTTTCTTTCATTAGAAAATATATAGAATTATAGAAAACTGAAGAAATTTTTTACCTATTGTACTCAAAAAAATAAA